ATCCGCTCCCTTCACAGGTTACCAGTGGCTGCCTGCATCCATTTAAAAAAAATAGTACTTAAGACACATCTCTTCCGACTACACCTTGGTGACGAAGATGATGTCTAATAACCAATTCTCCCCTAAAAATATAATATATATATATATATATATATATAGTTGCACTTATATGGCACTTACATGATCAGACTTTGTAGTTTGGCTTTTTTTAAGCAAATTGTACTTACTTGATTCTTGTTTTTCTGAGTTTGTTCCTTCATGGTTGATGCACTTCTTGTAAGCTGCTTTGAATAAATGCGTCAGCTAAATGAAATGTAATCTAATGTTACCCTCCTATCAGGAGGAGAATGTGGTTTAGTCTCTCTCTCTATGCTCAAAATTCCCTTTTTGAGAGTCTAAGCCTTAACGCCTCAGGGTCCAGAGCTGTCCACTGAAAGAATGTGATAAGTCGGAATGACTGCTGTGTCGGACTTATAATGCAGCCACACAAGCAGCCCGTTTGGGCAATGCACTCTTAGGAAATCTGCTGAGGACCAGGACAGCATAAGCGTGATAGACTGCCTTTGTCACTCATTCCCAACTTACAAGGGACATTGGTGCAGCTATATCATCTGCCATGATGTCACAGAGGCAGATTTGGTTGGTGCAGACAACTCTGACTTTTTCAACCAAAGATCTCCTCTCGAATGGAGGTTGGAGAAGAGATTGTACCGAATTTGGCGGCTGCTATGCTGTTTCGTGTGTACCGCCCTGTTGATTGGCCAAATTTACTTTGCCGTACGCCGACTATTGACAAACCGCCACTGGGTGACGGTCTGAGTGAGGTCGAAATAGATCATAAGTTATGACTATAACTAAATGGTTGTATTTATATAGCTTTCCTAGTCTTGATGACCACTCAAAGCGCTTTACACTACAGTTTTCCATTCACCCATACAGTGCTTCTATAGCTAGTTGTTCTATTGGGCGGTTTGGGGTTCAGTATCTTGCCCAAGGACACTTTGGCATGCAGATGGGAAGACTGGGGATCGAACTTCCGACCTTCTGGTTGGAGGATGACCGCTCTACCCCTCAGCCACAGCCACACATGGAACATGGCCATGACCGTCACTATCTCTTGTCACTCAGAACGGGCTGAGGCGTTCAGGCATGCTCACCGGGGTGCTTTATGGGTGGCAAGCCCAGACTCCTAAGGTCAGTCACATGACTTTGTTGATATATGGTCTCAAAGATATGAGAGGGGAAATGAGGGCATCATTCAAGGTAAAGACTGTGGTGACTTATGTAAGTGAGTTATAATTGTTCAATTAATGGAAAACAGCCCTCGGCAGAAACAATAAAGATCTCAGTAAGTGATCTACAGATCCTGGACCAACATGTTTTTTTCCTCTAAAATGTCTGTTGTAATCTGTAATACCACTGTTGTTATGAGTTTATTATGATTGGAAATAATTCCTCACTGTGGCAGCCCTAATACTGAGTAAGTTCCAACTTCTTGTTGTATGAAAAGGCCAAATCAAAACATTTTGAATGCTCAGTATTAGTAATCAATTATGTATAATCAAGAACATCAGTATCTGCCTTCAAAACCGTTTATTATTGAGACTCCTACCCTGGTGTCTTCACTGATGTAACCACAGGTCACTTTCTCTCCTTTTACCCAGAGTTCACTGGCCTGGGCTCTAAAGAATCAAAAACATGCATGTTACATGATAATAGAGAAAAAGGTTAAAGGGAAGATTGAGATGGAACACCTTAAATGTCTTATCTGCATACATTTCCACTCTTTTTGTTTACACTCAAATTTATTCTATATTCAATTCCTACTGAATGTATTTATGTAAAAGGAGTATATATGAGTATGTTTAATACCTGATTCCTGCAAATTCCACTTTCTGTGTCACATAAGCACATGTGGTGACCTGTCGTAAAGATATAAACAGTTATATCCTCATTTGCTATCACACATTAGCCAGATATGTACACTTTTACATGCCCTACCAGGCTCTTCTTAAGTCTCCACATATCTCCTCTGCCAATGTACTGGTCCTTGAAAGTCAGCTCCACCAAGTCTAGTGTTACATCCTGCACAGACACAACTATTTGATATTCTCTTTACAGTAACTGACCTGTGGAGGAGCTGCAGAGTTCTCATAGAGTAAACGTACCTTTGGGTCGACAATGTTTACAATGACATCCTGGTATGCACGGAGTTTGAAGGCTTGTGCTACAGCCTGGTCCACACTGATTGTCTCTGAATAAATAAAATATCCATCATAGGTGCTGAACAGGTAAGGCAACAATCAAAAACCTTTACATTTTCCAGTTACAATATCAAACAGTTATAGTAATTGTATGGTTATCCAATTACTGTATTTTGAGTGGGTGTGAACAAAATAACACAAACACACTACTATTTAATGCGACAAAAACAGTATCAATACCAACTACAGTCTCAAAATGACCACAGGGTTGAGTGCACATCTCTAGCCACAAAGAACCACTGTACATCAGTGTCACAAAGGCAGGATGAGCTGTAGGGCTGTTGTACTGGACTGCTTTTTCTGCAGCTCTATTGTTGCAGCAACAACCAGTTGTCTGTAGGGACCCAAAGATCCTTAGTTTAACTCGAAATATCCTAATCTAGTTCCTGAAATATGGCAGACATGTTCTTACATAGAGTTAGATTAGTTACCTTTCTGTAGATCCTCTTTAAGGCTCTTCACTTGCAGCAGGAGAGGACTGGAAGATTCAAAATAACCAAGTTTACTAAGACTCAGTGATGGAAGCATAAGTAGGCTGAAACATGCCTGTTGTGTGTATACACAACTCAATACATCATGCAAGCTCACCTGTATTCATCTGTGGGGTGCGCAATCTCAATTATATCCCCAAGACTGACTTGAGGGAAAACTTTTGAGTTGACAACCAACTCATCATCTTCTCAGAGAGAAACAATATGAGAAGAATGAATACAATCCTTATATAAATCTTTCAAAAAGAAAAGATTAATTTAATAGTAGGGAAAATTACCACTTACCACTTCCAGCAAAACCTTTCTTGTGCAGCACGAGCTTATATGACTTGTTGGTCTTCATGATAAAGCTCCTGAGGAACACAAACATGTCTGACTTCTCAAACTAACACCAGCCATGCTATGTATATACTTAATAAATTAGTTTATTGTCCCGATATTACTAAATTACTACATGTAGCGTTGTAACTCCGTGGTATACATTTGATTTGCTTTGCTTTCAGTCTTACAGTGGAGTTGGTAAGACGCTTTGTCATTGGAAAGTATTGATTTGTTTCAACTAAAGTTGCTGACACCAAAATATCCACGATACAATAAATCTGAACAGGGATGAGCTGCCTGACAGACTGTAGCTCTGAGAAATTCACGACATGTGTAAATACTATATAATTATTCGTAAGTATTTAATGGACGAAGACAGACTTGGCAGAGCCAGTGAACACATATACCAGTCAACAATAGCTGAACAGTCTCTCGTCAACAGCTCGACCTGCCACTGGATGTTGACGTTTACAAGCCTAGCATGTGGCTAATTTGAGACAACTTACAGCCAGGGGACCAAGTCAACTAAACATATCGACAGATAGCGACACAAATAAATGCTTGCATTGAAAAATACACCAATATGGCGAAATAAGATCGAACTACCGTTTATAGCGTGGGAATACAAGGCGGTATGCTGGCTAACAGTTGCCAAGTGTTATTACTTCCTCCTGAACGACGGAAATGTGACGTGATTGGTGTGCGTCTTTTCAAAGAGTATCTTGGCGAAGCAAGAGGACTCACTCCGCTCATTTCCACCCTCGCTTCTTTTGGCGGATTCAACTGCATGTTTTGTTTTTGTTACTTATAACCCAGCATACACTGAAATTACCCGAAATT